AAGAGTGAGACAAGTCCCAATCAGGGAACTTGGTTGGGAATTCCCTGGTTGGGACTTGTCTCACTTAGCCAAATTTGGGATTTTTATGGGTATTCTTTGAATACCCTAAGATATCCAAAAATGGGAATCCGTTATTTTTTCCTGTGAAAGCTTTGTATGGCGACGCCATGTTTGTGTCCCTTTGCGGGGCACAAATATGCCCGCCGGAAACCAGCTGAAACATCTGTTTTTGAGTTTTCCTACTAATGCGTTAAATTCATCGCTTGAAAAACTCATAAACTATTAAAAGTGATATTTATTCTGAGACAAGGAATGTTTAGATAGCAGACCTGCCAACTCTCACGGTTCTGCCGTGAGTCTCACGATTTTTTGTCATTTCTCACGGTCTCACGACAAGGCTCCTCAATCTCACGGGTTTTGGGAAAAATCATTCTGAAATGATTTAAGTTGTTGAATCAGAATAAAAATGGGAAATTAACGAGGAATGCTTGTGCCATAAAGTGAAAAACTAATAAAGAAGAACACTGTTCTTACTTTTTTGTACCCAGCTGTGATTTTCGCTTGTGTTCAATAAACTTAATCGTTTTTCTTCGTGTCTGTCCGCCATTTTGAAAGGGGAGTAGGCCCTGGGAACGAGGTCTAATTCCCAGGCGTCTCCCATGGGAACACAAATAAAACATTTAAATAAACTGTTAATGACTTTCCTCGATGGAAAAGGGTTTTTTTAAATCTTGATCGGGAAAAAAATAGAATCTCACTATTTTTTATAGAATCTCCAGATTTTTTTTCATGGGTCTCCAGATTTTCCTTTATCAGGGGTTGGCAGGTCTGAGACAGCAAAATCTCCCAAAATTGGTAATGTTTTTAACCCACATAAGAGGGGAGTAGATATAAATGCAAATTTTGCTTTTAAGTATGTCTACAGATAGACGACAAACTTTCGCAATTAATTATCTCAGTGAAAAGCAAGAGTAAATTCTCGCGATTAACTAATTGCAAAATTTTGCGGATCTTGTTTACTGTGGGTAATGTCGACTGAGATATCGGTCGACATAGCGGTCGATATAGCGGTCGACAGTCAGTCGATAGTCGGTCGACAGTCGGTCGATAGTCGGTCGACAGTCGGTTGACAGTCGGTCGATAGTCGGTCGATAGTCGGTCGATGGTCGGTCGATAGTTGGTCGATAGTCGGTCGATAGTGAGATAGACTATCGGCCGAGTATCGGTCGATATTTGGTCGACGCACCTCGACTTACTATCGGTCATATGTTGGTGATATATAGGTCAACTGTCGGTGGTATATCAGTCAACTGTTGGTGGTATATCGGTGAAAGTGTCGGTGGCATATCGGTCAACTGTCGGTGGTATATCGGTCAACTGTCGTTCGAATATCAGCTGTGTGTTAATTTATCAGGTGAGTCCAATGGCTTTTTTTTAAGCAAAGACGTCATTAATCACTGTTATCATGCGATGGGGGAACATGTGGTAGTGCGAGGCGCGATTACTCCATGAAACGAACCGAAGAGCACTGGGAACTAAGGACATGATAACCTTTTTTTTCCAGTTTGCATCATCACCTATCGTCTGAGTTTTAGCTCTTAAACAGAACCTGTCTCAGCCTAAGTCGAATCTGCTGCTCCTGTGGTCCCGCAGTCGAAGAATACTTAATAAGGACGAGTGAAATGACTGCTCCCGCAGTCCCGAAGTGGACGAATAATGAATAGGAAAAGGCAGTTCATGAGATGCTTTAAGAGCGAGGAATACACATCTTTTATTATCGGGCTTTGACCTGCTTTATCTCGCCAAGTTCTCGTTTGTGCAGAGACCACAAATTAAACTTATATATTTCTGCATTGAACACGGGAACAGTCCTTTGTTTAACGATCAGTTATTGATAAAACGCGCTGATAATGCGCCGAGGAGGGTGACAAAAATATCCAGCAGACTGAACACATTCATTTATTGTGGGAATGATTTCAATTTACAGCAAGGGAAATACTCATACGTTCTCATTACATTATACTGTCCTTTTGCTCTGTGCTTTCGCTTTATAATTATATTGTGTTCAAAATAAAGACGACCATGCGTATACAGAAATTAATATTGAATGGTAAGTCACTTTTGGTCATCCAATAAAAGGAAAACAGTATGCGCCGCGTTAACATTAATATTATCTTAACTTGTTAAGGAAAAACAAGTTTAAAAAAATGAACTGTAAATACATTTTTTCATCAATGTAGTTCTGAGTCGGTTGAAAAATTCTCGGCATAGGAAAAATCAGCCAGATATAGGCCTTACACGGTGGGAATAAATCACATAACAAGAAGCTGAAGGCCTATCATTCTCACTTAGAGGACTTCTTCATGATTCAATTCTAGCCGGCTACGCGTAGCGAGACACCCCCACCCCTAAAAAAAAAACCAGGGGAGGAAACGTCTGCGAAACGGTGGTGGGCATCGATACAGATAGGCGGCTAAATCCCGTTCACATGAATTAAAAGAAAAGGCTAGATAAATGACTAATAGCTATTATTCCGGAATTTTGGCTAAGTACATTGAAGTTTGAAATTAAAAAAGCAGAAACACAATTTAAAAAAACAGTTAGGTCCAAGCTAGAAAATGCTTTCTAATTTCTTGTTTTCCAAGCCAAAAAATGTAGGAAATGCAAAGTGTCGACCGACCATCGACCGAGTGTCGACCAATTACTGACCGATACATTGGTCAAGTATCGACCAACTATCGACCAACTATCGGCGAAGTGTCGGCGAAATGTCGGCGAAGTGTCGGTGAACGAAAAGCTATATCCACAGTAAACAAGATCCAATTTTGCTTCGAATATATGAGTGAGTAAAAAACTCGCAATTAATTAATTGCGAAGTTTCACTCTGTGTATATTCAGAGTCGTTTATTTGCGAATTTTTGTTTGTGTCTGTACAGATACACCTAATTGCAATAACGTTGTCGTAGAAAAAAGCAAAAAGCAAAAAGACAGATAGGAATAAATTAGCCATGTGATTTACATTTGCGTATTTTAATTCAGTATTCAACAATATATATTATTAAGGAATTCATTCACAGTAACAAGAGATAATTCTGTAATTCCGCGCTGTAAGATGGACAGGCGCCATAGTCATTTTAGAGCCAACATTCTCCATCAACTGAAGTCGCACAGTTCGAAAAAGAAAAAGGTTAATTGACGCGAGCAATATTAAGTCTCAGTTGTCGCACTTTCAGTCGCCAATCTATTTTGTCCTGACAAACGAAGCTTGGTTTGTGGCTCAGGTGAGGAACTGCCGGAGGACCCCCTTACTCTCTCCGCGATGAAAAGTCCTGCCTACGCCCCTGATTTGTTGCTTGAAAATTGTGATCAGATGCTGTTCTGCACTGCAAACCATACGCAGACTGGCTTTTCATTATTGAAAAAAAATGTAGCCATTATTTCTTTGGTAGTTTATATATATCCGATGTTCTTTGTAATTCGAGCAGCATTACCTCGAATTGCATTAGAATGACACCAAGAAACTGATGCAAATGGTTTCTGTCATATTACGTGATTAATATTCAGCTATGAGCGTGTGTGTTGTGAATGTTGCAAGCTATGATAATTACATGCTAATTAATTCCTATTTAACTTTTTGCTTTTTGCTTTTTTCTATGACAACCTTATTGAAATTAGGTGTACTTAAATGCAAAATTTGCATTTATCAAATCACCGACATAAGAGCCGTTGTGGCCGCCAGCTAAATGCCGCGTCACGCAAAAGCCTAGAAATTCAAACGTCCTCTATCGCAAAACGAAGAACCCTTTCGAACCAAAACTCTGTTTAAATAAAGGTGTTTAGGTGCTGTAATACCTCATGAAACTCAGAAACTAAGAAGAATCGATAGTTTCTTAGTTTGAGTTTTGGTGACGTCATGTGAAAACCGAGAATAGGGATCAAAACTTACCTTTTCGAAAATTTCAGCCAGAAAAAGCCTCCCGAAAATTCTAGGTGACCTTTTTAGGGTAAACATCCGTTAAAAATGGGCAATTATACCATTTTTTATATGTTGTAAAATCCTAGGAGAGGCAGGCAAGCAAGAAATTTTACTAAAAATGTTCCCAAAATTGTAGATTTCAAATCGTCTTCCGAACAGATAATTTCCGAAAATTCACGTTGGGTGCCGCTGATAGTTGCGACACTTCCTTTGAACGCTGCTTTTTCCTTTCTCGTCGTTCTCCCCTCAACATTGGGAGAGCGGGAAGACAATGAAGTGTCGCAACAATTTTGACTGACCATAGGTCGTGGTCGCTTTAGCAAAAAGACAGCTTCAGAAACTCATTAATAATTCATAGAGGGAAAAAGAGGGAAATTAATGTTCAAAGAGTTCTTTATATCTAATATAGACGCGGCTCAGAACTTAAATTCCATTTTTTTAGGCCAAAATAACCCCAATCTACATATTAGTGCAAGAAAAAGTTAATATAGATGAACTCACATTTCGTCACTTAACGAGAGTGATCGCAAACTCAGGCTACATGGGTTTAATACGAACACCTGAAAACCCTATTAATGTTTTTCAACGCACTGTTTTGTCAGCTGTTTAAATTTTGTTTGTTTCAAGAATAGATTCGAATAGATCTCGCTTGAAAATCGAGTAAGGTTCTACAGTGCGAGATTCATTGATTAGTGACTGGATATCACGGATTAGTTAAATGCGGAAATACGAAAGTAAACAAGCTTTAAATACAGGCTATAAACGTTAGAGACAGTCCCAGAAACAAGTTTCTATTCTGTAAACAAAAATAAATTGCGTTCGCACTACCCCCTACTTTAAGTTTCCTTCCCAACAAACAAACGCCCAAAGCTAACGAGCCCCCTGACATTCACTCCGGGGCATTAAACCAAAGAAAACGTGGGAAATCTATTAATAATAATCTATAAGATATTTTGAATCATGCGTTTGATGCTTGAACATAATCATCATTATTTCTTTTTCGCATTTATTTTGTTCACAGGATATGGGAAGCATAAGAATAGTTTTTACGTGTCTTGTACTTGCAAGTGGCGTCTCCGTTTTCTTCTTCTTTCCTGCAGCAGAAAAAGAGAGGGTAAAAGGTAAGAACATTGTCCACTTGAAGGGGCATCCTGGTTGTTGTTTTTTGGGCCCAAGGAGGGTGGAGGGGGGGGGGCTATATTCATAAACCGGTTGGTCCATAAATGAGCTTGTCAGGCACCTTTAAGTTGGTTTGGCGATAGAGTCTGTCTGGTATCTCTTCATACAGTCGCACCTCTATGTGAGACCACCTCCCAAAAACCACCACCTATCCAAAACACCAAAATTCTCCCAGTGAAATCACTACAATTGCAACCTCTCGTAAGCGATCGCGACTACTTTTTCGATGACAGCATTCGAATTTTTCATCGTTTTCATCCTCCTGTTAGTGACCACTGAAGGCATTGTTTGTTCTCTGTGCTCGTTGTACAACTTAGAAACTGTAGATGTGTTCGGTCCTCCTCTAGGAAGAGGAGCCTTCCGGTCCGCTTCATCAGAATCGGCATCCACTGAGGTGAAATAGAGAATGGGGAGACTGAGCAATGACGACGACGGCGGTATCGAGAACGGCAAAAAAAATATAGGTTATTGGTAAAACAACAACTTTGCACGAGCAGCACACTTTTTTGTACATTTCTTTGTCCTTGTTGCACGACTACAACGTGAAACTTTGTAGTTTCACTTTTTATGGAGAACGTGAACGGAAGACAACAACTCTCTTTTTCTTTTTCTGACATGAACCTCGATACAGTCATTTAGAGTTAATTTCAGAAACGTTCCCCAAGCTTTGACAAACCTAATGAAATGGGATAAGAGTAATGAAGTTTGAAACAGCGCGAATCCACTTTTAGAGTGACGGTTTCGGTGCCGAAGACGTCGTAACCATATAATCCAGGCATAAATTGATCAAGAATTCGTCGACAAAGCTTTGCAAATTGACAGGTGACGAAAAAAAGATCCACAAAATATTGTTTAAACTGAATTTAAAGACATTTTTCTTGGTTTTCAGCTTTTACCTTGCCTCGTTTGGCGGATGGTATAGTAGAGGCAACGTCGGCGAAATCTGAGGTAAGAAAAGTAATAGCCTGCCGAACAGACTCAAAATTACAAAATGTTGGATTCCGCATCAAGGGCAGCCTGTGTCTTATAGAGTGTTTTCACTCACGTGGCCGGCATCTACGCAAATGTATTGGAACAAAAGAGTTTGACTAATAGTCGCGGGTCGCGGGTCGCGGGTCCAATGTCGCGGTCGCGGGTCCAAAGTCGCGGTCGCGGGTCTAAAGTCGCGGTCGCGGGTCCAATGTCGCGGCAGGGGAAAATGATTTGGGGTTCGAGGTAACAGCTGAGTGAAAACGACTGATATGAACACAATATAAAGGGAAAAAATATTTTTTATGCACAATACTCTACGGTAGCCAATTTACAGGTTACGGATGTTAGAGTCAACAAAATAATGTCTCAAGAAAAGACCTAAAAGAAAAAGCTGGCCGACTTTTGTGTTCAGCGCAAGTTTATTTTGTTTTCTTTCTGTCGGGCCCAGTTATGTGTAAATTCAGCTTTGAATATACTTATGCATAACAGTATCTGATAAAAAAAGTTACCATAAGTTACCATTGCTTTCTTCTTGTCGATGAATTGCTCACAAATGCTTAAGGGTTCAATTACGGAAAAATATGCGATACACTTCATAGCCTACAGATTATAAACGTTACAACAACTTAAAGCCTTTTTTTAAAAAAAGCGAACTCGGGCTCAAAAAGCTACGAGTCTGTCGGTAGAAGAAACTAGAACTCTTATATTTAACAAATGTTTTCGGCAAAACTGAAAGAAAATGTAAATGGGCGCATGAAACTTCATCCAAGCGGTATTTAAGGCATGAATTTAATATGGAAACAAGTAATAATCCACAGAAAGGAGTCTGTTCCTCGAAGCAAGATTTTCGCTTAATGCTTTTATTTTTACAACTTAGACGGCAACCCAGAGTGTTCAATATAACTTCTTGTTCTCTTCACCTAAATGGCAACCAGGACAACCTGACAATAGGAAGCCATTCAATGTGCGTCTCAGTCAAATCTTGAAAACATGCATCGTAAATAACTAAGTGAGTAAGTAGGTAAGGAAATAATAACGCCTGATATCATGAAGCTGAAAAAGAAAGTAAACCGGACACTGAAAACGGTAACTTATCAACTCCACCAGAGCTAAGAAAAGACAATAAATTAGGTAAGTAATTCCAGATTCCAGGTACTGGATTCAAGTCTTTGTCAGTAGAACCAAGAGACTATGATCCATTCTCTCTTGGTAGAACTTGGATTCCGGATTGCAATCGTTATTGGGAACAAACTCCTTTCTGTGGACAAGAGAGGATAAAACTCGAGCTTTATCCCCTCTTGCTGTGGATTATTACTTGTTTTTTATTAAAGTCATGCCTTGAATACCCGCTTGAATGTACTTTACTGGCACTTCAAGCCCAACGTCTCTCCTCCTCTTTCCAGTTACTTGTGCAAAGAGTTTATTTTGGGAGTTCGCGACTGTTACGCGGGTAATCCTTTAGAAGACGGGTAGCTTGCAAACTAAACTGAACGCAGGGTTGTCGGAACAGCAACAAGAAGATTTATTCCAAAGATGAACGTAGTTTCCACTGAGTAAAAGTCCACAACAGCACGTACCTCGTTAAACTTACACGGCCTCCGCCAACTTGAATAAACACTGCCTTCGTCACACTTGACTAAACACGACCAACGTCAAACTCTCTTCGCTTGTGAAAACTAGTTAAAACTTAACTCGGGCTCGCCTACCTTACATACGTTTACAATAAGATTCTAGAACTTTCCAGCTCGTCAACTGAAGCACTGAAAAGTCTAGATTTGAAGTCACTGTCCACAAGAAGGTTTTTTCATCGCTGCATTGCAATCCACAAGTGTCTTATTGGAGAAACCGATTTCAGCTTTAATTTTACTAAAAGTCAAGCTGTTCATTCATATAATACAAGACGCTCTAATGATATTCGCTTACCCCTACCCAGAACAAACTGGGGTAAACAAACTTTTATTTTTCACGCCGCGAAAGACTGGAACAGCCTTCCAAATGATTTAAAAGAGTGTAATATTTTATCTATTTTTAAATCCAAGTTAAAAACTTTTTTAAAAGATCTCAGCTAATTTTAAACCTTGATGTTTTTTTGTATAATCGATTTTAAGATTTTAAATTTTTAAATTTGTTTTACTTGTAAACATATTTTACTTTTTTCGTAATTATTAATTAATTAGTTAGATTAATGCATGAGGGCCCCACTGAAAACCGCCTTGGCGAGTTGGGCTCCCTCTATAAATATTATTATTATTATTATTATTATTATTAAATAGTCTAATTATAGAAAGATTACAAAATATACCGCTTTTAGAAACGCTTACACAAGATCCTAAAATAAACAAATTATGAACTCTCTCGAAGCTTCTAGAAAGTCACACTAGTCACGCAATACAATTTTTCCTAACAGCGACCAGGAAGTTTTTCAACAAGCGTTTTCTTTATTTTTGCCGAAAACATTTGTTAAAATTGAAACAGTTCTCGTTTCTTCTACCGACAGACTCGTAGCTTTTTGAGCCTGAGATAGCCTTTTTTAAAAAAGGTTTTAAGTTGTTTTAACGTTTATAATTTATAGTCTATGAAGTGTATCGCACATTTTTCAGTGAATGCACCCTTAAGAATTTGTGAGCAATTCATAGACAAGAAGAAAACAATGGTTACTCATGGTAACATTTTTTATCAGATACTGTTATACATAAGTATATTCAAAGCTGAATTTACACTTAACTGGGCCCGACAGAAAGAAAACAAAATAAACTTGCGGTGAACACAAAAGTCGGCCAGCTTTTTCTTTTAGGTCTTTTCTTGAGACATTATTTTGTTGACTCTAACATCCGTAACCAGTAAATTGGCTATCGCAGAGAATCGTGCATAAAAAAGGTTTTTTCCCTTCATATTGTTTTCATATCAGTCGTTTTCAAATCATTTTCCCCTGCCGCGACATTGGACCCGCGACCGCGACTTTGGACCCGCGACCGCGACATTGGACCCGCGACCGCGACATTGGACACGCGACCGCGACTTTGGACCCGCGACCGCGACATTGGACCCGCGACCCGCGACCCGCGACCCGCGACCCGCGACCCGCGACCCGCGACTATTAGTCAAACTCGGAACAAAAGAAAGCGTTTGCGTAAGAAAAGAGTTCAACTCCCACAGGACTGGTTTGGGACACCAAGATGGCCGCGGTTTCATTGTTTTGGGACACCCAAATGGCCTTCGCGACGTCATGTGAAAACACTCTGTACGTAATTTAACATCGGTCAGTTATTTCTGGGCCCCCAATGGACTCAACGAATTACCAGCAGCCCGTTTCGAATTTCCCTTCATTCTTATTGGCAAATCCACAATGGCTTTTTTAACAGGCCAATCGTACCACGTACTTAAGTGGGGGCCCAGAAAAAAAATATCGGCGCTGTTTCGCAGACGGACTTAACCAGAGTAGTTTCGTCTGTGGCGCAGGCCAGATCAGAGGAGGAGCATTGTTTTTGCCAAATTGGTTTGTTATGTCAATAACCAAGGAATAATTAAGTTTTGTTTCCTTGTTTGCAACTGCAGCTCGCTGCCATCATTCTATCCAGACAGGAGAAACGCAAGTTCCTAATATCATCCTACTGTAAAAAGACAAAATCAAGCCCTGTGTTGCTACCAACTGGAAGTTTACTAAACCATCTCATAGTTGATAACAAGCACAAGATCTTATACTGCTACATCCCCAAGATCGCTTGTACAACTTGGAAGAAAATTATGACACAGCTGCTTGGAATTAAGAACAACAGATCTGTACACAGCCAACATTTTCCACTTCTCGGCTCTTATTCAAAATCCAAGGTTCGCTATATTTTAGATAACTATTACAAGTTTATGTTCGTTAGAGATCCGTTCGAGCGACTTTTATCGGCCTACAAGGACAAATTCACAAGACAATCAGACTATGTTTCCAAGAAATATTCTAAAAAGATCCAGTGGACAGTCAGAGAGAGACTGGGTTCTAGTGCGAGTGTCTTAGCGGACAAACAGGAAATCAAATTCTCTGATTTCATCCTGTATTTGATTGACGTTAACAGCAAAGGGGGCCGATATAACGAGCACTGGCAGCATTATGACAACCTGTGCCATCCGTGCAAGATTAAGTACAATTTTATTGGACATTATGAGACCTTAGAAGAGGACGCTCGGTTTGTCTTACACCACACAGGTGTCGATCGCTTCGTTTCTTTTCCTCCTGTTCGTTTTACTAGTACCAAAGACAAATTGGCACAATATTATAGCAAGCTGCCAAGAACAGATTTATTGCAGCTTCAAAGAATTTATCAACGTGACTTTGAAATGTTTGGATATAATAAAATCTTCATGGGTTCCCAATGAACTCGAACTCAGTATCACTCTCAGTAGATTGATTGTAATAATTTTAGTTGATTATAAAATAAATTAATAGAATTTCCTAATTCCTCGGGTTGCTCGTGTTCATATACCATGATAATAAAAAAGGGGAAGAAAATTGCCGGTTTTCACTTTCACGCCATCAAAATTGAACTTGAAATCAAAATTGCTCAAAGAATAAAATCCAAAATCTCGAAAATGATCAGAGGTTAATACCCAAAAACCCTTGCGAACATTCCTTTTATTTCAATTTTTCATACGCGAGATAATAAAAAAATATTGGATGAGGATTTTGGTGATATATCCGGAATAATCAAGGTCGAGCAGATAACTAACTAACCCGCCTAAGTTGCGCTGATTTTCAAAATTAGCTGTAGGTTTTTAGCCAATGAGAAAACAGATAGTGAGTACAATGTATAATAATCAGAGTAATGATTTACCCAAATTTATAGAGCGTTTTCACATGACTTCACGGCGGCCATTTTGGTGTCCTAAAATAATAAAACGGCGGCCATGTTGGTGTCCCAAACCAGTCCTGTAGGAGATAAACTCTTTTCTTATGCAAACGCTTTCGTTTGTTCCAATAAATTAAATTAGAACTTTCTTTGGAGACGCCATGTTGTTGCCCATCTGGATGGGCGCCAACAAGGCGACCGGAAACCAACAGAAACTTCTGTCGCCGCTGAGTTTTGCTATAAAAGAGTGATTTCATTTTTCGAGGAACTTATAGACACTAAGATAATACTTTTAATCATCTATGTACGATGACTGTTCATGTAGTGAAATCCCCTCAAAATAAGTCTTTTTTGTAAGACACAACTGCTTTCTCTGCTGCTGCTCAAATATTTTATGAAAGTAAAAACTCAGAAGGATCGATAATTTCTTTATATTGAACTTTGATGGGGTCATTTCAAAACCAGCAATTGGCTCTCAAAAGGGCAGACAATTAAGGAGCTTTTTTCAGGGGTGTCTAAACTTCTATCTTTTTAGATCCATCTCGTACTAAACATCTTACTACTCAAAAGAGTGAGTTTAAAGGCCAGTAGCAGCCAAAGCAAAATTTAAGGTGAATACAGCAGTATCTTTAATATAAACCAAGGGTGAACTTTACATTGCTTATTAAATGATAGCTTGATCGGCTAACGCGTTAGTGTTTTATCAGATAGAGCTGGAATGTGTAATTCCAGACGATTTGTATCACTACGCATAAGGTCTGTTTCAAGAACGCTTATTTTTGTTTTTATCAAAAGTGTCCTTACAAATGACCTATCGTCGAAATTCTCCTAAAAAGCCATGTTAACTATTAAATTAAACAAAAGCCATGTAGAACAACCGTCCCTATTTATCTAATAATAATATCAAACTATACTATTCTCAAACGTGATTGATAAAACTTTTTGCAAGTGAACACAGATTCTGACATCTGCTCACTGGATCTCGAGGGTTTTTTTTTTTGCCAGGACTTAACTTCTACTTTTTATACCGAAACATAAGGGCATTAAGGAGAGAAGTATGGGGCGCGATGGTCTACGGTTTGCTTGCTCAACTGTGCAAGGGGAGTCAAGAGAGAGACCTCAGAACATCTGATATTCCTGTTACTGCAACTCGAGGCCGTGTAGGAGAACATCAAACGGCGGGCCTGTTGAAACTTACTGAGACCAGCATATTTGGATTACTGAGAATATATTTTTTTGAGAGGTGTCTGGTTTGGCCGACGTGAAAATATGCACAACTAACTTAAGACTAACTAAATTATAAGACAAAACGTAGTATACGTAGTTCAAACCGCATCGAACGAAAATTTGCATTGTGCGTTTTGCTGTCCCATTCACAGAAACTACCTTAACTTTACAAAAATTTAGACGCTTAGCCGTTCAAAATATTGAACGCCAAAATCGAGGTATGGTTGAAAATATGAGCGGCACGGTATGTATATTATATAGCAGTCTAAATTTTGCAAAGGCCTCATTGAATTGATTTGTAGTAACTCACCTAGGAGACTCCATTTTGGATTTGCTTAAATTAACGTTCATATGCATATGAACCGATGGTAAAAACACCCGAAAAACTCAAATTTAACCTGGTCCAAGACTTCTGTGTGAATAGAGCAAACATATAGAACGGTTCCGTGTGTTGCTGAGCGAAGTGCCCGGTCAAATATGCAGCTGGTCGAAACTTCTTCTAGGGCTGTGTGAACATATATAGCCTCATAGACTTTGTGTCAATATCTGACGAAATAGTCTTCGAACATTTTGGCTGGCTCTTGAACTGTGGACTGGGTAAAGAAAGTATAAAACAGCCAATTTTGTCTTACTACTTTTTCTGAGAAGTTTGTTAGAGCTGATAGAAAGTTCAGGCCTTCCGGTACTGAGTCAAAGTTATTTATAGTTTGAGTAATTACTTCATTATCCAAGAATATGAGGAAACGACTAAAGAATAAATCAAAAGTGGACTTCTCGACAACTTACGACACTAAACATCCTGGCTTCAAAAAATATATATAAAAAGCAAGTGTTTTAACTAAGTATTGCCGCTACGGTGTGTTTAAACATCATATGATGACTGCAGAAAAAGAAAAATCATCGAGTGCAGATTCCGTGCCTCATAGGTAACTGCTTATATCATTAATATAGTCAAAAGAGAAACGAACAGAACTGTAAAAAAGGCTTGAAGCGACGAACAGCCAGCTTTGGGTACAACTGGAGGCTGGAGAGAAGGTTTGCCTGAAAGAAAATCAAACCGTTTGACACATTAGTTATTGTACTGTACGTGATACAGCGTGCAAGTTTGTTTGGTCAGGGAACGCGCCTATTAGATGGTAAGAAAGAGCCATTTCTTTCTAGGCGACACTGTTTCCTCAAAAAACTAAAACTCCTCTTGTTGCGTTTTAAATTTGGAAAAAAGGAGGGCAAGTTTACTGTGTTCTTGTATTAGGCTATTCAGTGTCTTAGATCAGTGTTTTGTCTTATGTAGTATTCTCTCTTGCATGTCGCTAACTCATAAGTTTCCCAAGTTAAGTTCTTGAACCCAGTCGCCCCTAAAGATTGTCGTAAAGAAATAGCCAACCCGTGAAGCTGCATGTCTTTTGATCACTTTTAGTGGAAACGAAAAGGCAGAAATCCTTTAACCAGAGCAACAAGTTCGGCATGCACAGGAGGCAAAATTTCAAAAGCCGATCGATCTCAGGTTACGTTGCTGACCAGGCTCTTAGAACGAGATTAACCAAGAGTGACACTGGAAACTTGACTTTTATTCTTTTTCCCCCTTTCTTTGCTTGTGTGTGTGTGTGTGTGTTTTTATGATAGCCTTCATTCCTATAGAGAAACAAACTTGCGAGGAACCGTCGATGATCCTGTAAATTACTTCCATGTAACATTTTGGTAGTGGAACACGATTTAAATTAACACCTTTGACCTAGCTGTTTGACCAAATCACGCAAATATAATTCGGGAAGGGTTCGAACAAGCGAAGGTAGAGGAAACCCCTTCCGTTCTCTTGTTTTCAGCCTGCACAGGTTAAGTAATCTTTGCGCAATAAGACTGATTATGTCAATATATAGTGGTAGAGGAGACGACGTCTGGCTAAACAGGTGGTTGAGATGTGAAAGGGTTAAGAGATTTTCTCAAAGCATTGCAATGGTTTGCTTTACAAACTCACTTGTTGGAGCCAAAACTGTGAACAGAGTTTTCATCCCACCATCCAAGTGAACGTTCACGTGACAGTGAAGCATCCAGGTTCCAACTGCATCAGGTATCATCTCAACGGTCGCAAAGGATTCTGGCAGCAAATCGTAGACATCGTTACGATGATAGGTCTGCGATTTCTGAAAAGTGTTGTAGAATATTAGTCAATAGTATGCACACAATTGCCGACGACTTAGAAGTTATAGATGACGCAAGATCATGAAAAGATGTGTGGCAACGAATCCAAATGTAGCGACTTACGTTAATTAAAGGTGCATAACTTAGTGATGGTTGATACTCTCTTAAAAGATTTTTAATGGGAAAGAGATCTGTGAGCGATTAATGTAGCACTATTTTGTTGGAAGATGACGCAAGAGGATGATTAAAAAACGGCAAATCGTGCATCATTTAGGAATGCACTCACCCTGGAGAGCAGATTGAATTACTCCAACATGCCATTTTACAAGGCGATGGTTTAGACCCCTTTTGGAATTTTTGTGCAGGTGACTGCACCTGGTAGCCATGGAAACAGGGAAAATAATAGCTGACCCCTAGGACAGCCAAAGGCAGATTACTTAGTTTTACAATAACTGAGCGGCGATTTCTTGCTAGCTGAATAGCTCGATAAGTACAGACCATGGAAGTGATGTGATGGTGGCGCAGTTTGTTTTTCGCTTTTTCGTCCGCTTAATTTTTTGAGAAACTTCAACGGAAATGGACGTCGAAACTTTCAATGTTATTGTAAAAAAAATAAATCGGCAACAATAAAAACGACGTCAAAATGATCAAAACTTTGAAGTGAAATCACTCGGTCCCCGGGTTCGTGGTTGCACTTGAGTTTTGAACACGTTGATGTGGTCGTTAAGAGTACAGACCATGGAAAATTGTTGTCGATTTATCAAGACTGTTAAACTATATACTTACTTCCTATCAGAGTGTTACTGAGAGTCTTATGGTAACAAATTTACCGGAGCGCAATGTGTGGCGGAATTAAAACTTCCAAAAAACTGGCAAATTCGTTCAAACTTTGTGCGCCACTGTCGCAAAATGTTAAGGAAGAAGGCTGCTTATCAAACTTCCTATTTTCAGGTCGTCACCAATCATTTTGTACTTCATAATAAAATTGTAAAATACTGAGACCCGCAGCCATCTGATCGGCTAAGACTAAGTACTTACATATAAGATAGTTTGGCCGTGGAAATGAACCGTGTGCATTTCTGTCATACCACCAACTTGAAGGAGATACCACACAACTTTCTCGCCTTTGTACATGGTAAAACCCGGGACATTTCCAAACACATAGCCATTAATGGCAGCCTTCAAGTTGCTCTCCCAGAAGTCAAAGATGCCAACAAGTTGGTTAACCGGGGGTGGGTTCTGGTCTGTGAGATAATTTTCAACGTTTTCTCTCACGTACCAGTTGCGGTTTTCATCAAATACGGTAAACAATGCAGCAAACTCCCTGTCAACACCCTTCACTTTTCCATGATCGTCTAGCGTTCCCTTGAAAAACAAAAGGTTATTTTTAGTTTTGACCTCCCTGGCCAATCAAACACACGTCAAAAGTAATCTGCGAGGTTTTTGCCTCGGGCATGAGCAGGATCCGATATACTTGCTCAGTAATTAAACGAATTAAGCGCGCTTTTCGGGCCAATTTTTCTTTAAGGTTTCCTATAAAAAGATTGTAATGGGAAAAAAAAGATCGTTGTGCCGTGTTTGGATGTAATAATGATCACCTTTTTTCCGAGGAATATACAATGACGTTCTCTTTTTGCCCTAAAAGCGGGCGTAAATACTAAGCGAGTGCCCCCCCCCCCTGAGCATACCATTATACTCCTTAAATCTAATAATTTCAATATAGCCGCCGTATCGGTAAAAAGGTCTATTGGTAGGTATTGACCCTGAAATAGCCCATCGAGCCGTTTTAAATTCCCCAATACTTCATGATTGCCTTTGGAACAAATGTGCCAATTTGGCAATACTAGGAAAAGCGACTTAGCCCGGTTGAGTAACAGTTTTGGTGATGTAGAGAAAATGGAAGAAGATTCCTATGAAATTGAATTGCCAAAATAATGCCTCAAAACATAGCAAGAATACACACAAATGCCACTCGGAACATGACAGGCAAATGTTCGAGAACTTACCTTCACATAAAGGTGAGCATGCTTTGAAGTTGGAAATATTTTGAATGCATATGATTTATATGATATGAAAAACTATGCAGGTCGACGAGGGCGTCATCCGCCGATGCCTTGCTCGCTTATATCCTCAGCCTCAGCTAATATCTGCTAATAAGAGTTACCTTTCTGCAGATGACCAGCGCGCCTACCAGTCCAGTGTTGGTGTCTTTAACTGGGTTAACATCTGAATAGTACCCCCATGTCAAACAATCAGTGTCATTAGCTCCAGGCCCAGCCCTTGCAGGTACTTCCCAGACGTAGTTGTGAATCTTTCCTGGAGCGATTGCGTTGTCAACTAAATCAGCACCAGAGGTGTTATCCTTATAACGAGACCCTTCGTCTTGTTTGCTAAAGAATTGAAACAAAAAATGCAGACTGAATTTCTCTAATAATTGCCCTCTAATGTTTAAGCCTAGCCCTTTCTTTTTTTAAGCGGTCGGTCCCCCGCCTCTCTCTTTTCTCCTTGAACAGTCAAAACTTGCTCGTCCTCCGTAACAAATACGTCCTCCTTCACCCAGTTGCAATTGTTTGAGTTGTTAAGGAGTGGGAAAGTAACAAATTTCTCTCGCAACAATCAGGGGTTAACGATTACCTGCAGATTAAACAAACTTAAGGTAGCGTTTGGTGTGGGATTATTGTCGCCTTTTTGCCTCAGAAGTGGAGTTTTTTTTTTAGCGATTTTGAAGGATTTTGAGTTCGTCCTGCTATTAAGAGGAACAGCGAACTCAAATTCTTCAAAATCGCTCAAAACACCACTTTTGAGGCATACTGGCCGTAGGCAAGGTTATAAAAACGTTTATTTAGCATTGATCCATGCACACATTAAGCGAATTAACGGTTAATCCAGTTTACTATGACATAACAATCGGTTACACAACAGATTGTGTGGTGTCCCTGTGATTTCATTCCTCCCATTTTAAATTGCTGTGATTCGTTCATAGGAACGCTCGGTTTTACCTGTAAAAGAGTCCATGAGGATGAATGGAATATTCTCTGGACGCCAAGTTCTTAAAGATAACTTCAATAGTGTCACCCACTTCAGCTTTGATCATTGGTCCCATGATTCCCAAGTGCTCCTCTTCTTTGTTTCTTTTCTTCTGCTGAGTGAAGGTAGCATCTGTGTATTCCCGATAAATTGCCTTCTTGAGTATCCCACCAAGAAAACGATCACCTGGTAGTGTGTAACGAGCAGCATGTCTGCGGAAAAAATTTTTTTATAGTCGGGTGGAATTAATTTTGGAACCGGCTGGAAGAACTAACAAGTCTTTATTTAATTTGTGAAAGATATATATATATATAAGAAAGTATTTAGTAAAATAAAGTGTAGCTGCATAATATGTACAGCCGACCAGTCATACAGCTTTATAGCTAAGCGGAGTGTTTACTTAATCATGGCACGGTTACAAGCTGGTACCAGATAGATCAGTGTCATTTTACATACGCCGCGGAAAGCTTGGTTCCGTATACTTAAAACTATATGTAGTCTTTTGACTCAAACAAGCAATTCTCAACCAGCTACCTATTGCAGATTAAAGGAAGGAAAGCTTTCCATAGCACCTTTTAGTCCTAGTTCGATATCCTTCAATGAAAACGCAATCGTAACAAATTTATATCCGAAGAAATTTCATTCTTTCAAGCTTTTATTCAAAGATTTGCCGCCAACTTGAAGGAAATACCCGTACTCAAGCATATCATTCTGATTAATTACAGCGTAACTGAGCCAATAAACTTTTATACTGCTGATCATTTCCACTCCTTGTAAGCCGCGAAAGTTGATCTTAACCCTGCGAAGGTAGCTGTGCACTCGTAGACTATGTTTAAGCCAAATTTGGTTTCTCACTTTTGACGAGCAAGAATAAATTAAAGGACGCAATTTAGTGAACTTCGCCCTCCTGTTACTTAAGCTCAGGCCTCTATAGTTAGTCCCCAAAATCCGCTCTTCCGCTTGTTTCTTTAGAATATACAGGGTGAGATCATCTACTTACACAGATTCCATTTAGTGGTTGGAAGAAACACGTCTTTCCTAAAGAAGTTGTATTCATAGCAATCTCAACTTGATAAAACTAGCGGCTCACACGCAATTTTATTAGCCCGGTATTAGTTTAACTTGCTAAAAAAAACCTACGGGCTATCCTTAAGCTCGACTCCTTCGATTAAATCCTTTCCAGTTGGCGCGTAGTTCCACGTTTCTTCCACGGCTGCAATGTAATACCATCTCTTCCGCCCACTCATTGGTTGGTCAGAAGAAGCATTCCCACAATCCTTCAATACCGTGTACTTGGCAGTAGTTCCTCCTTCTAAGTTACTATTAGTCCGATCAGCTAATTTCCACTCTCCAGGGTTATCTGGAGTCATGTGCATTGTTGCTAAGGAACCTGTAATAAATAAGATTAAATTCTTGGTAAGTTAATGTAAAAAGCAAAAAGTAAATGCTACAACTAACAATTAACTTGTCATGACACAATGAACGTTTAAGCTGCTTTTAAAATTTCTTTGAAATGCCAGGGAAGATAATGGCTGTCCCTCGTTACCTAAGATGACTGTCTTGTAATTGAGTTGAGGCCTATCTTAAACAGGTTCTCGCGTGGGCAGTCAGACCCGCTCGGGATCTGCAGTAACGCTGACAATTGTTGCATTGGAAACTGCTTGAGGTAGCTGCCTGGTGTCGTTGGACATGTGCACGCTGATATTCCTTCTGGCGCTGATCCTCAACAGCTGACTTTCTGACGTGGCCTTCCTCAACAGTCCTCGCCATTTGACTCTCTAGACTGCATCCTTCTCCCAGGTATCACGCGAGATGCCTGTTTCCTTCATATGCCTCTTCAATAAATCGCAATTTTTGTCCTTCATGGCTCCTTTTACCTTGGCGTAGTTGCGAGTAGAACACAGCTTTTGGCAGCCTGCTATTGGCCATCTGACGTACATGTCCTGCCCAGCGAAGCTGTGACACGGTTATTAGGGCTTTAACACTGACTGTGTGAGCACGGCGCAGTACCTCAACGCCTGGAAAGGTTGAACAGTTTGCCATCTGTCCTTATGCGACTGAAAACGCCCCTATTGAGCCCTTCGTTCGTAGTCTCCAGCACAGCTGTGAAGTAGAGGGAGAAAAGAGTTGGAGCTAGCACGCACCCCTGCTTCACGCCATGGTTGACTACAAAGGCATCACTGGGTTCGCCGCCGACTGAGACTTGTGCCTTCATTTCATGATGGAATTGCTTGATGATGTTTACAAGCTTATCAGGGCATCCATAGGTTTCAAGGATCTTCCAGAGGGTTGTGCGGTCAACGGTGTCAAATGCCTTTGTGAAGTCAACAAAGACAACATACAATGGCTGATGTTGCTCTGCTGCCTTCTCTTGGAGCTGGTGCAGAGTGAAGATCATGTCAGAGATGGAACTGCCAACCCGGAATCCACACTGACTCTCCGGGAGAACTTCTTCCGAAATGAACTTCAGTCTGTTCAGGACAATCTTGGCAAGGACTTTGCCAGGTATGGCCAGTAGTGATATTCCCCGATGGTTTCCGCACTCTGCACGGTCGCTGTTTCTCTTGTAGATGGTGACAATTAGAGTAGAACGAAAGTCTTGGGGCACAGTTCCAGAGAGTTGGCATCTGTTGAACAGGCCTAGTAGAACTTCGCACATCTTTTCGCCACCATTTTTGTTTAGATATCTAAGGAAATACCATCCAAACCAGGTGCTTTGCCAGATGTTGTTGACTTCAAAGCTTTCTTAGTTCCTCCATGTTATTTCTACGCACAGCTCATTGCTTGTGGGCTTCCTCTTCAGCTGCTGACAAGCATCTGGATGTGCAGATCCTTCATGATGTAGCAAGTTATTGAAGTACTCCTTCCATCTGGCCCTTATGTCTTGGAGGTCTGTGAGCAACTTACTACCATCCGTTGACTTCACTGGGGGCGACAGCGTTGCTCTTGGGTCCATAGATGGCTTTCAGCCCAGGGAAGTTAATTGACTTTGGGAAGTAAAAGGTCAAGTACTCAGACTTCTTCTCAAACCGTGATATCGATTTCGGTGCAAGAACACAATGTCCACCGTCATTGTTTAATTTTATGAGTTTTTAATCCATTGCTTAAAAAATAAAAATGATAATAATAATAACAATGGCCATTTTATTTCGTACTCTACGTGCACGTCACATTTGTATTGTTATTCGTTTAAAAATATTTCGCCGTTCCTGATTAACCCATCCCCCGGCAAATTCTTCCTAACCAGGCAGCGTTGATTAAATTCGGATAATGCAAGCAATGCAACATCGATTCAATGGTATATTTCATTGGAAACGACGTTGATCGATGGTATAAATGCCCGGAAACGTGGCTACTTGGTTAAAAAAGGGAATAGCTGAAGTAATGCAAGAAATAAAGAACTATGCACAAATAAAGTACAAAAACTATACCTTCCATTAGTCCCACTGTGTCATAGTTATTTCCATTCCTTATCAGAGTGTTGCCATAAAAGTAAGCGCTGTGCATCTGCGCCGCAGGACCACCCAAGAAATGCCACGAAACGTCATCACCTTTGCACATGCGCAAACCAGGTAAATTTCCATACATGAAGCCGTTGATATTCCGCATTTTGTTGCTTTCCTTGAATCCCGCGTCATCTTAAAGAGTCAACAAAAATCAAGAAAAGCAACGTTTATTGCACTGGGAATGGATACTGTAAATTGTGATACTTAAAGAGCTATTTGCCCTCACTTTCGAAAAAAAACTAACTGACCTGTCTTCGCATCAAATGATTTCCAAAAATAGTAGCCCAGCTTGTTATTTAAGACTATATCCGGGCTTTGAAACTGTTCTATTTCCATCTTTGAAGGCAAAGATGGAAATGGGTTGAAAATGTCTGGCCAACTTTTCCAACTTGTAATAATGTTATTCCTACCAAAATCACCAAACAAATTATTATGATCATTGTTCCCTGATGAAATTTGTTTGATAGTCACACCTTCGAATTCTTCATAACTCTACGGGTCATTTTGTGTTATATGGGTAAAGGCTCAACTCTTAGTAATGACTTTAGCACATAATTGACCTCAAACAGTAATATCCTGCACGCACAAACTTAGCCCCATGGCTAAGAAACTTTGGTTATCTGATCCATTATTCGCGTGACCGTACTTCCGCCCATCCTTCCTTCCGTGTTCGCCACAGGGAAACTAAGGTCTAAGGTCACACTTTCAAGCTAGTGTGAGAGCCTGCAACGTGATATTGTGCATTTATGTTGAGGTCAATTGCAGGCCCAAGTGTCGACCCATCGAGGTTATTTGAAGTTCTCCACTGGCAAGTTTCTAGTTTTCAACTGATCGCCGAGTGGATTTCTTTTCAATGGTTACAAGTTTATTGTATGATGTAAATTATAAATTCATTAACGGGATCTTCGCCTTTAGCGTTGGCTAAATCGATAGATTAACTGAACCCAATTTTTAGTTGATTAGGCCTCTAGAACTCGGTCTCAATAGATAATTGTACGGTTTACACTTTGACTAAAAACAACGCACTTACTTGCGTCTATCGTAGAAGCGTTCCCCGCTAGGTTCTTATTTTCATTGAAGTACCAAGAAAGTCCTTCGTCGGTTAAAGCAAAGCGCAAGCAAAACTCATGATCGACGTCCTTCCTTTTCCATGGCCTATTTTCCTCCAGCGTTCCTTTTTTACACACAATCAGACATCCGATGAGTCCTTTAAGAGAAATAAAATTATGATCATTAACAAGGCTATTGATCCAGTTTATAGTTGAGAATGCTGGTTTTTGTCTAACTTTAATTGGACTAAACGTCTAACTTGGAAAACACACACACAGATTAAGAGTATTGAGCAGAAGTTGAATCCTGGAGTTTCAGGTCTACACATAAATAACATGAAAAATATTAAACATTAAAAACATAATAAAACATAACACATAAAAACAGACAACCAAACAAAGCCTAAATGAATGAAGGCACGAAAGAGCAAACGAATTTAAATTGATATTCTACTGGTGGCCAAATTAGGCGACTAGCATATATATTGCTTAGTAGTTTCGAAGAACTCAGAAAGGAAGATTGACTCCCCGATTTGAAATGACTTCTTTTGCCTTCCACACAGTGAGTAAAAAACCTTTGTCATACCAGGTTATTATACGTGCTTTTTGCTTTCGAAGTGTAAGTTATTGGTCATGATCAAGTATTTGTTATATTAAAAAACACACCAGTTACCTACCGTTTTAATCAATGACAGTTACATATTAATAAATGTAGAAAGTGAAAGGAAGCTAAAATCAAAAATACGTGGGAAATTATAAAATTATTGAAATAAATTTACGGAATTTGACAAATTTAATCTAAAAGAATGAAAAATTAAATGCTTTGTTCGTCTTTGAGGAAATCAGACTTGGATTATGAGTTGTAATCCCTCTATATCCCAAACCACTGTACCTACCACTATGTACGTCTTTAGTTAAGTCAACACTGGAATAATACATCCATGTGATACATGGAGGATCTTCGTCCGTTGGGGCTACAGCCTCTGGTACAGTCCATCTATAGAGGAATGTTTCATTGGGCATAACTGCATCACCACCAGTAGTATCATTCCCAGATGTGCCATTATAGCCAGCTCCTTCGTTTGCTTTATCGTAGAAGACACCAAGTGGATGCATACTGTAATTGCGATTCCCCTGTTAAAGAGAGGGAGAGAGAGAAGGAGAGAGAAGGAGGGGGGGAGGGCAGAGAAAGAGAGAGAAGGTCGAAGTGAGCAATGACCTTATAAGATGATTTGAATTGATCTTAAGCATGTTAAGGCATGACCCAGAGCCTAATTTGCATAACAAGATATACCTTAACAGCATCAAACTTGGTAATAACATAAAACGTAATATCCTTAAATTATTGTTTACTTTAAGGGCCTGTTTACATGGAGTGGGGGACCCCGGTCTAGTGGGGTTGGTTTCTTTTGTTTTCACGCTCTGGGGGACACAAAACAAAAGAAACCTACCCCACTAGACCGGGGTCCCCCACACCATGTAAACAGGGTCTAAGTTCTGAATTTTTGCGTCATGTGGACGTTTGTAACAGTTTTCTTACGTGAAAAGCGAAAATGGGCCGCCGAGATGAAACATAAAGGGTAGATGTTGAAACGCCAACATATTCCAATGGTTACCCCCTTTAAGAATCTGTCCTGAATGACCGAATTCATTTTACCGTTTAAGAGTAGTTTTCAAAAGTAGGCCACGTGACCTCTTTAATAATCGAATCACTTTGTGAAATAAGATTTTTCTACATTCAGGGCACAGATTCTATCTATGCATCCATACCTTAAATGCGGCGTGCTTGAGAATTCAGCCTTTACAACAAGCCATCGCCAGTTTCAGATATCATGTTTTTCTTATTTATGACGCCATCGGACATGTGAGCTCTGTTATTAACCCTCAGAAGGTTTAAGGACGACAAAATTTTTCTGCTGACTGAGTGGTGGTTACGATCAAAAGAACAGTGCGTCTGCTAGCAAGAGTAGTTGTCTTCGCGGAGTGTCTAAGAGCAAAGGACGGGCCATGCCTTAACATGCTTGAGATTGGAACATTTTATTGCAGACAAATTATGAAATTAAACTGCTGATTATTTTTGTGTTTGTTGTCGAAACGACTTCATCTCGCAGCTAGAAAACAAAACAAAAACGGATATTTCGGTTCACCCTATACTACTTTCATACGGAGAAGCCATATTTTATTTTGAAACGACAGTTTTAACTTTCATTACAAAGTTACTTACCTGATTTTTAAAGAGCACCTGGATTTCATCGCCAACCTCCGCACGAATGGTAGGCCCTAGCAATCCCAAATGCTCTTCACTGGCTGTTCGATTTACTTTAGTAGTGAAATTTCTGTCTGTGTATTCGACAAAGATAGCTTTTTTGTATCGTCCTCCAATTCTGTTATCAGCACGGGTGAAGTATTTAGCAGAATCACTGCAAAGCAAGCAATCATCAGTCTGAGAAATCCTGCTGTTCTAAGTGAGTAAGTGTTTCATGCCATTATCTCTTGGCAAACTATGGACGCTCTCCATTCAGCCCAAAATTCCAGGAAAATCAAGTGGAACGGACCATTCCGGCTGGGTCTGACCTTAATATCTGGAACCACGCATCTTGAAGGTGGTCCACTTTCACCGATCCGGTCGGACCGAAATGTTCCTTTCTATTTGACAAAATTGATGTCCCTAGTACTGCTCTACTGTATCCGGCTTACATGTACAAGAAAGCAATAATTAAACGCTCGGTGGCTTGGGTCGATCGGGTCCGCTGGGCACGTGGAATTTCCGAAATTTTTGTTAAATGGAAATCGCCCCATATTAACTAGTAGATTTGTTTTAGATTTCACCTAGGTAATGAATATTTAATCTTTCTTTCTGAAAAAAAGGCTTTATTTTTCAAGTTGTTACCTTCCAGGTGAAGTAAGCGATTTTCCGTCTATTTTATTAACACCAGATGGTCCATAATCCCACATAACCTCATCCGCGGCTATGTAGTACATTTTCGTTCTATTACCACTGACGGTTGGCATGGCAACATTCTTCTCGCACTTCTTGACATAAAAGAGTGCCGACATTCCTTTATCAAAGAAGTGGCTGTTCATGCAATTCAGTAACCAAGTTCCTGGATTCCATGCCTTCATGTAGGCTGTCAAGAAAGTGGCTGGAAGCACTATTGCTGTGTCTCGGCGATGGGAGTTGATCTTGACTGTGTGCCCATGGAACGAAGCTTTTAATAGAGTAAACAGAGTTTATTTTTCAGATTATACGGTAAGAAACGAATCAACAATTCTTGTTACCTCAGAATCGGTTCTAGGGTCTTAAAGTTTAAAACCTTTTTAAAATGATGCCAATACAGGGGCGGATCTAGGGGGAGGGTGCAGTTGGTGTGCACCCCCAACCGGTCGTTTGTACAATAAAGCAAGTAGGACGCCAAGTGTTATTTTTGTTGAATAATAAAAGACTAATAAAAGAAAAAATATCAAACCAGAAATTGCTCTCTTCAAATTGTAAATTATAAATGATCCTGAGAGAATATTCAGTGTGTTAAGGATTTCCCTGCTGTACTGTTAGCTCTATACAAGACAGGAAGGGCGATTCTTTCTTAATTTCCGTTTCGCTAACACAGCTTTAGCAGAAATCTCGCTTTAGTCGTTTTCGTCGACAAAAGCAATATCGCTCTCCGCGTCTTCCGCAATTTTTCTCAGCGTCAATTCGTGAAGGACGCGTGGCTCTGAGCGTGGGTCATCCACGCGGAACACATTCGCGCTATGTGATTGGCTGTTGTCTAATCCCCCTCGGGATCTGTGGTCTTAAAAATAACTCGAGACGAATTATTTGTGGAATAGGGTGTGTATGGGGGATGCCTTCTCTGTCCCCTTTATCCTCTCTTGTTTTACATGAATTACTTAGAGAATAACGCCTAAGAAAGACCTAAAATTTGCCCAAGTAGGGGCGAACATTTTCCAGATTCAGAATCCGGAAAATGTTTGCTTTTGCAATGCTAAATCCTAGTCTTTCGTAATCGATATCCGGAATTGGAATCGGACTACAAGCTCCATCGACAAAAAATCCAGAATTCAGTCTTTGGAAGTACTGGATTACAGAAGACTCAGTGTCTTGGATTCCCTTACATTGGGTGATATTTATGGGACTTTGGTGATGGGATGACGCGTAGGATACTTACGATTGTGTACATCACTGAACTCTCCAACACCTATTATGTGCCAACTGACCGTATCACCGTGACACATGTCCAGCCCAGGTAGGTTGCCATAGATGTAGCCATTAATGGATGCCATCCTGTTACTTGCCTTAAATCCCGGGTCAAATTTATTTGCCATTGCCTGTTCGGGATTAGCGAAATAGGTTTGAATATTGTCATCCAGGAGCCAGCTCTTGTTCTCGTCCATCTCGGTGATGAGAAGAAAAAACTCTTTGTCGACGTATTTTCTGTTTACGCTATTTTCCATTAAAGCTCCTCGTTTGCAGATCAGTAGTGGGCCTGTGGAAAAACAGCAAGCGATTTGCTAATTAACAATTATTGGACAAGGCTAAGTATGATGTGAAAGATTATACAGTTCGAGGGCCCAGTTATACACTTCCGTTTTACAGCCGTTGGCTTGGTTCTCGGCAGATTCAGGTTATTAACGAATGTTTATTATAGCATTCATTCTTCAAAGAGATTAAGCGATTCTTGCAATCTTTTTGTGCCTTAGGTAGTAGTTCGGTTATTTCTTTTTCGCACAACGGTTGAGTTTCTTCCACCATTTCCTCCACCTGGACCAAGACAGTTTAGCCACTGCGCCTACTATTAGCCTCAATGGCAGAGTTTTGCCGCGAGATCGAAGCTAATTTATGACAGGAAAAAAAAAACTCTTGGAAGGGTATTATCCTCGAAGTCAGGTATTGGTTCGAAGATGTGCTATAAGCGAGTAAATAAGGGACAGGACACTAACAGATCTTATCCCAACGAGAACTGCGCGTGGCTCCCCCCACCCCCCTCCATATTCCTGATGAGGGGGGCAATGATTTCAGTCCCATTCGTTCTCACGGACCACTTCGAGTTGGGCCTTTCTCAGACAGGATATGGGTATCTATGAGGAGCACCCAACGACGATTTCCTCCTAAATACGTTAAAAACATTTTTCAGGCTATCCAGAGTAGTTTTAGATTTCTAGAAATACATTCTAAGAGGCGCTATAAACTTTGTATCCGTTCGATCATCCTAGGGCACTTTGAGTCTTTTCGAAATTTTAAGGGCTTCAGCATTATTTTCCCGAAAGTTTTAGATGCTGTTTATCGCTTTACGAAAGTGAGAATTTTTCTGATTCCTACCTCAATCACGTTTTTGAGTCCGAAAATTTTATATTTCCTTTTTCTACGAAAAAACAGCACTACGACGGGAGTGAAATGTGAAAAATTAGGCTTAGAAAATCGTAGGGAATTTATTAGATAGGTTTCGAACATTGGACATGAATGGAACGGTCATCTGGAAATTTAAAGCCGTCCTAAAGCAATAGAAAATTCCGGACAATATTTGCTTCTCCGGACAGATATTTTACAGAACATAGTCGGTGGGTGCCCCTGATCTATACCTCATTAGTGATAGTGTATTATTGTGCGTCGCTTTTTAAATATAAATACGTATTTTTCAGACATCTGATTGTTGAAAATTTTGTGAAAATGTATAGCTAAATTCAACTAGAAATACCTATCAAGCCTGTGTTTATATCATTCACGGACATCACGTGAGAATGGTACATTCTTATGACACAGTCGCCATCCCCTTCGGTTGGAGCGTGTTCTTCGGTTACTATCCATGTGTAAAGATGAGTTTTATTAGGTTCCACTAGATCGCCTCTTTTCTGATCATCACTGCTGTGATCTGCATAAAGGGCCCCTTCATCGCTTTTGTCGTAGAATATTCCATGGGAGTGAACCGTGAAAGCCTTATTAGCCTTGTTCTTGAAATGTATCTTGACCACGTCTCCCACTTCGCCCTTGATGACTGGACCCAAAACACCGAGGTGTGATGGATGGGGCTTTTCCTGAGTAAAGGAACCGTCTGTGAACTCGCGATACAGCACTTTTTTGTACAGGGTTGCCACTCGGCTTACGCCACGCTGAGTGAAAGGTCGTGCTTGGCTATGAAAAAAATAAAATGAAATAAAATAAACAAAATGATTCTGATTTAGCAGATCTCTTAGGAGGTTCTATATTGAGAACATTATGAACTTCAGCAAAAAAACAAATTTAATGCTCTTTATTTCAATATTACATACTAACTAGCCGGTATCGAAGAACTTAGTAAATTAATTAAACAGCCAAAAGTGGACATCGTTTTTAGAAAACACTGAGCCCAATATGTGCGTAAAGACCATGGAGCAAAAATCATTATTTTACAGACTATCGACTACCTTATACTAGTACTTAATTTCGAGAGGATTTTTATTGGTGGATCTTTTATTTCGTGATGTTTTTAATGCTAATTAACCACAACTGAGGTAGCTGAAAACGCCAGAGGTCTACGTATAGCACAAGATCGTAAACCAAGCTAAGGAACCTTTAATGATTATTTGAAACAATTTGCGTTATTTGGACATATAATGTCATGAAGAATTCAGTTGAGAAAACGCTAAACTTTACTTCTATTTTATGACTTATGACTATAAAGTGGCGAAATCTAATGCGGCTTTAAGCAACTAAAGGAATCATTGGTAGCAGCAAACTGACCAATTAAAATGATTAAAGTTTTTTTTGATCAATTCAACCAACAGGTTTCAAATAAGCCAAATTATTATTCATTCAAAATATTTCCCCAATTCTGATTGGCTAAAAGCACACGCATAATTCACCTTAACCAGTTACTGATGACCAAATTTGGAAGAAGTTTGTGTTTAACGAGGAAATGACGTCAAAAATGCAGCCTTCTACAAGTTAATGCACCGTTAACCGAGAAGACCTGGGGACGAGGTTGAGTTGTTTTCGTTGTGAAAACTAAAATGGCGGGCACTTCACTCGTTTTGAGAGTAAGAACTACAGCTGGAACTAGGCGAAATAATGGCCAAAAACATAGCAAAAACTCGGAGGGCGATTCAGCCATTTGGAGAATATTTGCGGAGCTGGACAAACCTAAACGTACAATATCGAAGATAAACTTAACATCGATGCAGGTAAGCATGTTTTAGCTATGTATTTAAACTAGGAATTATTTTGAATGAATAATAAAACAATTATTGAATTCGGCTTTCGTATGATATGTAGAATTATGGAGATCTCGGAGGGTGTTATCCGCCTCGGCCTACGGCCTCGACGGATAACACCCTCCTCGATCTCCATGATTCTTCATAATATACTCAGCCTCATTCATTAATTGTTAATTAAAACATCAAAATACTAGAAGTAGTAATGCTTCAGCAAAGATAAGCCCCGTTGGTGGATTCCCTTTGGATTCCCTCGCAAAAAGTGGATTCCCTTAATTAATAGGCATATGGGTCTAGTCTATGACGTCACCTCGGAAAGAAGTGTCTTCCTGCATACTAATTTGGATTAGGTTTACTAATGAGCGTCACTCTACTACAATAGGAACAATAGGCTTGCCTAGACTTGCCCGTGAAGTAACTTGAGCTCGGTTTTCGGACAGTCTATTAAAAGGAAAATAGGAATAAGAGAAGCGATCACCTAGCAACGCGAGAAACGGCTTCCTATATCTTATTTAGCGCTAAAACTCATATATATAAACAAAACACATGTGCACAAAGTGGAGTTGAAAAGTCTTTATTTCCGTTTAGTTTATGTCTTCTTATTGAGCTCTAAAACTCGGATATATATAAACAAAATACACGAAGTAGAACTGAAAACTCCATTTCAATTTTGTCTGACGTTTTCTCCGTTCTATCTCGAGGAAATGAAAAACTATTAAAGTCTTGTAATTTCACGCACTGTTAGTCAGTTAATTATGCGAGTTCACAAGCCCAAAGTTGAATACAAATTTTGGTCTACAGGAAAGACCCAAGGGAGCACCTTGACGTATTATTATAAAACAAATAACTTAACAAGGATCAATTAAAACACGCGACTAATAATTGCTAGCAATAAAATCTGACACGAGATACCGCTTAAAACAAAAAGAGTCAAATACACAGCGATTTGAAAGATATCTATTAAAACAGTCAAAGAAAGCAAGTCATGTTTTACTTACCCCTCTCCCTTTTCAATTTTATTTCCCTCCTCAATTTTTTCTTTTTCCCTTCTCCACAATTTTATTATTTTCCCTCCTCAATGTTTTTATTCCCTCCTCCACAATTTTTATTATTTTCCCTCCTCAATGTTTTTTATTCCCCTCCTCCACCTCCACCTCCACCTCCTCATTTATTCTATATATTTTTCCATCCACAAATACATCGACCTCCTAGCGACCCTACATCGACCCCACATCGACCCTACATCGACCCTACATCGACCCCACATCGACCCCACATCGACCCTACACTCAACTTTTTTTTAACACTGCTTCGTAAATAGTGAAGCTATATACCACCACCGCCACATTTCTATTGTTTTCCCACCACCACCACCACCGCCACCACATTTCAATTGTTTTCCCTCCTCCTCCTCCTCATTTTTATTGTTTTCCCTCCTCCTCCTCCTCCTCATTTTTTGTTTTCCCTCCTCCTTCTCATTTTTGTTTTGGTACAGTAGGGGTACAGGAGGGGTACAGGAGGGGTACAGGAGGGGTACAGGAGGGGTACAGTAGGGGTACAGGAAGGGTACAGTAGGGGTACAGGAAGGGCACAGGAGGGGTACAGGAGGGGTACAGTAGGGGTACAGGAAGGGTACAGTAGGGGTACAGGAGGGGTAAGTTCATAGAGTTCCGTTGTGCTTTGCAGCCGCGCCTCCATCGATAGCTATAAAAAAAGTAGTCATTGGAAATTTTGAAGATGATTGTTCGCTTTCTTGTGAGCTTTCAATATCGTCGTCATCATCTTCAAAATTTCCAATGACTACTTCTTTTATAGCTGTCGATGGAGGCACGGCTGCAAAGCACAACGGAACTCTATGAACTTAACCCTCCTGTACCCCTACTGTACCCTTCCTGTACCCCTACTGTACCCCCCCTGTACCCCTCCTGTACCCTTCCTGTACCCCTCCTGTACCCCTACTGTACCTTTCCTGTACCCCTACTGTACCCTTCCTGTACCCCTACTGTACCCTTCCTGAACCCCTCCTGTACCCCTCCTGTACCCCTCCTGTACCCCTCCTGTACCCTCCTGTACCCCTACTGTACCAAAACAAAAATGAGGAGGAGGAGGGAAAACAAAAATGAGGAGGAGGAGGAGGAGGAGGGAAAACAATAAAAATGAGGAGGAGGAGGAGGCGGGAAAACAAAAATGAGGAGAAGGAGGAGGAGGAAAAACAATAAAAATGAAAAGGAGGAGGAGGGAAAACAATTGAAATGTGGTGGCGGTGGTGGTGGTGGTGGGAAAACAATAGAAATGTGGCGGTGGTGGTATATAGCTTCACTATTTACGAAGCAGTGTTAAAAAAAAGTTGAGTGTAGGGTCGATGTGGGGTCGATGTAGGGTCGATGTAGGGTCGATGTGGGGTCGATGTAGGGTCGCTAGGAGGTCGATGTATTTGTGGATGGAAAAATATATAGAATAAATGAGGAGGTGGAGGTGGAGGTGGAGGAGGGGAATAAAAAACATTGAGGAGGGAAAATAATAAAAATTGTGGAGGAGGGAATAAAAACATTGAGGAGGGAAAATAATAAAATTGTGGAGAAGGGAAAAAGAAAAAATTGAGGAGGGAAATAAAATTGAAAAGGAAGAGGGGTAAGTAAAACATGACTTGCTTTCTTTGACTGTTTTAATAGATTTCTTTCAAATCGCTGTGTATTTGACTCTTTTTGTTTTAAGCGGTATCTCGTGTCAGATTTTATTGCTAGCAATTATTAGTCGCGTGTTTTAATTGATCCTTGTTAAGTTATTTGTTTTATAATAATACGTCAAGGTGCTCCCTTGGGTCTTTCCTGTAGACCAAAATTTGTATTCAACTTTGGGCTTGTGAACTCGCATAATTAACTGACTAACAGTGCGTGAAATTACAAGACTTTAATAGTTTTTCATTTCCTCGAGATAGAACGGAGAAAACGTCAGACAAAATTGAAATGGAGTTTTCAGTTCTACTTCGTGTATTTTGTTTATATATATCCGAGTTTTAGAGCTCAATAAGAAGACATAAACTAAACGGAAATAAAGACTTTTCAACTCCACTTTGTGCACATGTGTTTTGTTTATATATATGAGTTTTAGCGCTAAATAAGATATAGGAAGCCGTTTCTCGCGTTGCTAGGTGATCGCTTCTCTTATTCCTATTTTCCTTTTAATAGACTGTCCGAAAACCGAGCTCAAGTTACTTCACGGGCAAGTCTAGGCAAGCCTATTGTTCCTATTGTAGTAGAGTGACGCTCATTAGTAAACCTAATCCAAATTAGTATGCAGGAAGACACTTCTTTCCGAGGTGACGTCATAGACTAGACCCATATGCCTATTAATTAAGGGAATCCACTTTTTGCGAGGGAATCCAAAGGGAATCCACCAACGGGGCTTATCTTTGCTGAAGCATTACTACTACTAGACCAAGAAAGACAACACAAACCCAAGAACAGCAACAACAACAAAAAACACCATCACCACCACAACAACAACAACACTGAAGTTGAAAGGCAATCTTTAGACTGTTCAATCGTGATCAATCGCGTATTGATCCATTAAGGCCGCCGATCGTGTACTTCAATCGTTTTATTCCTAGTTTGTAATCTTTTCAACAAAGCTTATATGCGCAATGTTGCTTTAATCTTTTCGTTAGCTTTGCGAAATATTTCTGTTGAAAAATTAAACAAATGTTGTGAGTTTTTATATCTTAATATATTTTCAGTTGGTGTGCAAACAGGATTTAGCACGGCACTGAACATTCCTAATCAACGGACTATATCAACTGATGTATCACTGTTTTTAGAAGCAATGATCGCATCACTGTGCTGTTGAAAAGATGGCAGGAAACAAGAGAACAGAAGAGCAGCAAATTAAACTACGGTATAGTTTAATTGACAGTAAGCGGGAGCTCACTGAGTGTTAGTAAAAGGATATATGTGGAAGCGCAGTAGCATTAAAGAGTAGCCTGTTAGCCTTTGCAGTAATCAGAGAAGCCCTAAATATGGTAGCAATAGTAGTTGCTTTCTGCAGAGCACACTCTTTGCATACCTGTCATCTTGGAGTGCAACTCCCTTAATTTGGTTTTGTCCGCTGGGTGCATAGTTCCACTCTTTGATCACTGCTGCTATATAGTACTCACGAGTCACAGCTCTGACCATGATCGTAGATGGCAGAAAACTCCATATAACACTTACAGCAAGGACAAAGTTCAATACCATCTTGCTTATCAATCGACCGAAGAAACGTTTGGTTGTTTTGATCGGTTTAAAGGGATGTTTACTTAAAATAGCTCCTGTAGAGACTACTTTGCCGAAGGGTTCTAGAACTAATCAAGCATACAATTAAGCGTTTTATATTTTGTGTGCCATTAAGTAAGCCATCATTTTGTTGTGTGTTGCTTTTACTGGTTAAACCAAAAGATGTTACTTGAGTTCAATGCCGGCACTATTTGATGGCTGCTAAAAATCATTGTCATTTGCTTTTATAAATGAGTAAATCAAGTCAAATGAAATATACTATGAAAAACAATTATTGACCACGATTTTAGTCCGAGGAAGCCTGATTTGCTGATTAATGATAAGATCAGAGTAGATACTAAACAATCTATCAGAAAAAAAATGTTGTTATAGAAACATAGCTTTGTCAAAAATTGCAGAGTTAGAGCAATGGCCACGAGATTTAAGAGCATTACGTAACCGATAGTTAAATCGAACGAGGTGAAGATTCTGAGATATTGCTGTTGATATTGTTGTTGTCGACATCGTTCCCTGTTTCTTTGTTATGTTCTTTAGTTCACCAAGTTTTGAAACATCAAACGAATCAAGTTTGGCATCTACATTTTATACTTTAAGTCTGACTTTTAGATAACGTGCACTTGATAAGTGACACAGTATAATAACGTAGGCGTACTTGTTACCGCCGACGGTTAAACAGTAGGATAATATAGTCTTTTGTTTCTTTATTCAGTTTAACTAAAGTTTCAAACCCAAAAAAACGTACTAAACCCAAGCAAAAGAGAACGCAAAACTAGTTGTAAGGTATTTAGTGGCCTTGTAGAGACAAATCCTGTTGTAAACTGTGACTTTTAAAGCTTTAACATTAAAAACCTTTGTTTTTAAGCAACACATTCAAGCTGCGATACCTAAAATACTTTACAGTTTTGATCAACTGATTTGTTTTCCAATTTTTTTCCTACTTTGCTTAACAAAATCGGAAAAAAAAAGAATACTGAAATACAAATCTTAAGTATTGTGAAAACTCTCTAACGTCATCGATCTTTATAAACTACTTAGAAATCACAAATTACTTATCTCTAAAACTGATGCAAATAAAATGAAAGATTCATCAGCTACTGTGTTCGGCATCAGTTAATTTGAAAGAGAATATTTGTAGAATTATAGAAACGTTAAGAACAAGCATCTTAATTGAAAACCCTACGGTTATGTTTAGTTCTCAGTACTAAAAACACATCCAAGACTAAGACTAGCATGGGCTGAATAAATGCAATAGCTAAAGAAACTAAACAGAAAAAAAAGTTTTCAAATTTAATGTTTGCAGTTTCTTTTAGAGTCAATCACATAATTATCTTAGAATGTGTATGTAAATTTTTGTTTTCATTGATTTCTGTTGTTTGCAAGTTAGGTACATCACACCCCGGTACGACTATATGTTGTCATTTGTCAATATCTTCTTTTATGTCGTAGTTTCATTCGGATGTGGAAAAAGTGTTCATGTTAATACAATTAAGAGAAAAAATGTTTTAGCAATGTAGTAAAAAGGTGGAGGATACATTTATTTATGTCTTGGAATGTAGGGATTCAGTCTTTTGTCAGATTAATCACTGGACGAAAAAATAGATTTGCACAACTTTGCTCCTTGCAAACATTTCGCAAATTTGTAAAAAAGGAGGAGTAAATTTGGGGCAGAGATGGTGTACCGTCGCAATTTGTAATAATCATCGCACTTTGTAATATCTGTCGCAATTTCTAATAAATTCATCGCACTTTGTAATACGTGTCGCAATTTGTAATAAATTCATCGCACTTTGTAATAGTGTCGCAATTTGTAATAAATTCATCGCACTTTGTAATACTGTCGCAATTTGTAATAAACCGTGTCGCACTTTGTAATAAAAAAGCTGTCGCAATTTGTAAAAATTGTCCATCGCACTTTGTAATAAACTAAGCTGTCGCAATTTGTAATAGTTCCATCGCACTTTGTAATAATGTTTTGAGAGCGATTCAACTTACTTCGTCCACATTAATATAATGCCAAAATATGAGTGGTACTTCGTAAACAAATATGATGACATCTGTAAGCACGTAACTTACAAAATTACTTTTATAATTTATATCTCCTCTCATTCAAACCATTCAACTTTATTCACTATCCTAAACCTTTTTTAAAAATTAATGTTGATTAGTTATCTGACGTACAAAATTCTGTTTTCTTAAACCCTGGTATTGTACTAGATGGTTTGCATGCAATGGTTACCTGAGAGGCGTACCTCAGCGGTAATTACCTAGCCCATACATGTATATGACATTATCCCCCCCCCCCCGCCCCCACCCCGAAGACTTCACGTGTCGCGTTGCAAGCAAACATGGATTGGGACGACGAATGCCAGGTTATTCATCAATTTTCTGTTGTTAAATGCTGCTTTTGTTATTTATATTTTTTTTAATTCAAATATATGAAATGATTCATACCTTATTTTTAGTGGCATGTCACAGAAAGTTTCGTATCTTTCATAAAAGCGATTCTCGTTGGTCACGTGATTAATTAAGGCAGAAAAATGTATAACGGAATACATGCTTGTTTGACCAAAGAAAATCATTTAAGTTTATAACAAAGTGCGATGGAATTATTACAAATTGCCACAGCTTAGTTTATTCTAAAGGGCGATGGACAGTTATTGCAAATTGCGACAGCTTTTTATTACAAAGTGCGACACGGTTTATTACAAGTTGCGACAGGTATTACAAAGTGCGACAGAACAGATGGTAAATGCCACATTTGCATACCATAAAACAGGGGGTGTAAATAACTAGGCATATGTGGTATTTAACATCTTTGTCCCTAATTTACTCATCCGTTTTCACAAATTTGCGACATTTTTGCCAGAAGGATATTTGAGTGCCTCGAGGGTTCCTAAAAACTCGGGTTCTTAAAAGCTCTGACTGTGCGTAAGGTAATATAAATGAAATTAAACAAACAAAACCGCTCGTGATTCTGCCATCAAAATTACACAGAATAAGGTTCTCATCATTTCCAATTTTTAGGCATAATTTGACTCACACCATGACATAATTTGACTTCATTATCAAGTCATTTTTTGGTTGGCAAAATCAGAAGTTGGCTAGCACAAAAATACCTTATTATAGGAAATTAACGATGCACTTTATTAACGCAGTTTTTTTAAAAAAATATCGTTAATTTAATGCATCTTAATTTACGTCGATGTTAATGTAATTCACACTTTTTTACATCATTGTTGTTTTACAGCACCTTTATTTCAATAACAAAACCTCGTCTGCTCCTAGTTCCTCTATCAACGCCTTGAAGTGACTACCTGACGGTTCTTCTTTAAGAATTGGGTTCAAAATATCTTTCGACTGGTCTTTGAATTTATCTTTTTCCCCGAGGAGACAGTTCCATTTATGGAGCAATAACATGATAACAATGAGATGAAAATGACTGGAAATGCTGCTGCTTTTTTCTTTTAGATATTCATGTTGAGAAGTTTGTATTGCAGCAAATAGGCCATTTGCACGATGACGTCATTTACTACTACGACCAGAATCCTTCAGGGTTTTGCTTTCTTGTTCAAATTACAGCTTATATTACTCAAACCTCGCTGGGAATACCAAATTTAAATACGAAAGAGAAAAAAAGAAAAGATTCTGGTTGTAGTAGTAAAATGACGCCATCGTGCAAATGGCCTATTCGCGTAAAATAAAGTAAGGCGCACAGTGTTTTCGAAACTTTCGCTTGTATTTGATGTAGGTAAACCTATTACGTTTGGAAAATTCGGGTTGATTTTGTGTAACGTGAATTTTCTTCACGTTGTCAACATTCATCGTTAATTTCCTATAATAAGCTCGTCTTTAACAATAACATTAATGTTAAAAAGACGTCATTTGTTACTAAAATAAGAACTGGAACTACCCACCATCTTGGATCTACCGTTTTGAATTAATCAGTAAATGTGTTCTATTTTACATAAAACCCCTATTAATCCAGGTAATGTAAATAGAAAATTTGATCTGCGTATAAAAGAATACTTACCAAGCAAAATAATTTGTAGGTTATACAATTTCGGAAGAAATGAAAATTTTTGAAAATTGAAAACCCAGCATCTGCCATTGGGTCTTACTAAATTTGTTTTATTT